CGGTTATTTTAACCGGTTTGGAGAAAAAAACCTAGACCGGTTTTTTTACCGGATAAAAAACCGGTTTTTATCCGGAAAAAAAACCGGTCTGGGTTTAAAAAACTAGCCGTTAATATAGCCATTGGGGGGTTTTGTGACCGTTTTTTAGCATTTTTTTCTTTAAAAAAATTATTATTTTACCACCCTAAACATGTATAAATAGGTTGGGGATGTATTTGGTTGATTACAACTTTCTCAAATCTTATTACACAACACCTAAACATCTCTCAAATCTTATTTTTGTAATTTTTTGTTTATAATGAGTAACACGGCTGAATCTTCCGTCGGGGGAAACATTGAAGTCGTGAGAGTGATCGAACACACTCGAAACAAAGATATTTGGGATCACTACGATTTATGTGAGATGTCAAATGGCTCGAGGAGGGCGCGTTGTAAACTTTGTCTAAAGTTTCTTGCATCGGAAGGAAACACAACGTTGAAGAACCATTTGACAAAATCATGCAAGGCACTTCGCTCAAGATCGGATCATAATCAATCGAATCTTACACCACAAGGTGGTGTTTTTGTTTACGACAACGAAAAATTACGAGAAGCATTTACAAAGTTCGTGATTACAAAAGCATTGTCGTTCGACCACTTTAATGATGAAGATTTCACGACAACAATTCAACAACTAATGCAACCACGTTATACTCAAGTAAGTCGTACTACCCTTAGAAGAGATGTTATAAAAATGTGGCGTACGGCGAGGGAAAAAATGATTTTAGGATTCCAAGAATACCGTTATGGTGTGTCGCTTACATGTGACGTTTGGAGTTCCCCTCATAATACCGAAAATTCTTTTTTAGTCGTTACGTCACATTGGTTAGATCAAGATAATTGGCAAATGATGAAAAGAACAATCGTGTTTGAATTATTCGGTGAGCCGCATACCGGTATTAATTTATTTACATTTTTAAAAAGGGTAATTTGTCTTTATAAATTAGAAAATAAAGTTTTTTCTATATCCTTTGATAATGCATCGAATAATACAAACGCGGTTCCAAGATTTAAAATATTACTTTCACCGATTTTAGACGGTGCGTTTTTTCATACCCGTTGCATTGCACACATAATTAATTTATCCGTGCAAGCCGGTTTGGAGGTTATTGAGCCGATTAGATTAGAATTTAAAACAATGATAAAATCGGTTCTTTGTAACAACAAAAAGACTAAATGATTAAACGATTTTGTAAGTCCGTTAATAAAAACTTTGGGTCCTAATTTGGATTGTCCAACTCGTTGGAACTCAACTTGGATGATGATGCATACTGCCTTAAGGCAAAGGGAAACATTGCAAACATTTCACGATCGGATTTTCGAGAGGGGTCATGTCCCAAACATTTATCCAGATTCGAGTTGGGAAACTATAGCCAAAATAACCGATTTGCTTGGGGTTTTTAAAAATGCAACAACTTTTTTATCCGGTGTTTATTACCCTACTAGCCCGTTGGTTCTTAATCAAATATTTTTGTTGGCTACCCGACTAAATGACTTTGAATTTGAAACCGAAGTTTTTCAAGAAATTGGCTTTGCAATGAAGGAAAAACTTTTAAAATATTTTAAAGAGATTCCCCCCATTTTTACTTGTGCCGCCGCTTTAAACCCAACGTTAAATGTTGGCGGGGTTGAACCACTAATTGAACAAATTGTGTTTGCTTTTAATCTAACCGATGATGAACCCAACTTTGTCCAAAACCAAATAAATTATTTTAACAAATGTTTTCTAGACATGTTTGCAATTTATTTAACTAAATGCGGATCAAGTAGTGTAATACACGATCAAATGAGAATGAATGTGGAATCATCTAGTAGACGTCCAAGTAACATAAATTTGAATCTTTTTAACACTCTTGTAAATTCTCAATCCAAACGATCACGTACTATCACCCCAAGTAGCAAGTTGGGAAATTACATGTCATGCGATTTCCTATCAAAATGACATTTGAAGAGTTTGAAAGTTTGGATATTTTGGCTTGGTGGAAAGAAAAGGAAGCACAATTTCCGATTCTAGCCGCCATGGCGGCCCGTGATTTACTAACCGTCCAAGCTTCTACGGTAGCTTCGGAATCCGCTTTTTCTATTAGTGGCAGAGTTATATCGCAACGGAGATCAAGACTAAGTCCCGAGTCGGTGGAAGTATGCATTTGTTTAAAGGATTATTTGGATGGAGCGACTCGTAAGCAACATATCACCACCCTAGAAGATTCAATTGATGTCGATTTGGAAGCAAACTTACACATTGAAGAAGTCGAACTTGGAATATCCCCTCCAAACGAAGAAGGCGAAGATGATGAAGAAGAGATGGCAATGTAGTTTATTTTTAAACTTTATTTCAATTATCGTAAACTTTGTTTCAATTATCGAACTTGAAGTTTTTAAGTATTTGAATTTATCGAACTTGGAAGTTTTTAAGTATTTGAATTTATCAAACTTGGAAGTATTTAAGTATTTTAATTATGTTGAGTTAATCGATTGACGGAATCGGCCAAGAGGGGGGTGAATTGGCAATTAAAATTTCGGTGGAAGCTTTTGCAGAAAATTGAAAAGATTTGCACAGCGATTTAGAGTGGTTCGACTTTCTCAATCAAAGTCTACGTCCACTACCTTAGCTATCCACACTAAGGATTTTTCACAAATTCACTAATTTGTCTTTCTTTTGAGGACAAAGAATAACCTTACAAACCCTCAAGAATTATACCCCAAATTCTTGAGAAAACTCTCTCCCAAAGAGAACAATACAAATTTGCAAACTTACAAGGAAATCCTCACAAAGTAGATTGTTTGCACAATTCTAGAACAAAGAAAAGAACACTCAAAGATGAATACAATTGAGCACAATATGTGTTCTTGAAAGCAAAATGAATATTGAATGAAAATATGCTTGAAATGCTCAAACTTGAGGTTTGATGTTTTCTCTTTGATTCTCTCTTGATTCTAGTTGCTTGATGTTTCTTGTCTTTGATCAATGGTTTCTAAGCTTGCTTAAATACACCTTGAATCACTTCTGAACGTTAGGGATAATTAATGAAGATAATATAGTCGTTTAAGTGTGAAAACATTTAATAAAAATGCTTGGAGCGTGGGGGGAATCGGTACCCTCTCATAGGGAATCGGTTCCCTAAGTGTAAAATTTAAATATTTCGATCGTTGAATAGGGGGAATCGGTACCCCCTATGGGGAAATCGGTACCCCCTATGGGGGAATCGGTTCCCTCCGAGCATTCTGGAAATTTCGGAGCCAAATCATTCAGGGGGGAATCGGTACCTCCTTGGGGGGAATCGGTACCTCCTTGGGGGGAATCGGTTCCCTCTGAGCAATCTGGAATTTTTGGCTTTGAAATGGTTCGAAATACTTTGAAAGATTATTTTGAAATTGTTTTAAGATTAAAACTTAATTTTACACTTAAATAAGGATTAAAAATGATTTTTTGAAATATTTGAAGTAATGTTTTAATATTCAAATAATTATATCGAATATTCTTAGAAAATCATTTGAAAAATCTTAAAATTCATTTAACTTAATTTTTTATATCGAAATATCAAAATGTTTTCAACAAATTATCGTAAATTTTGTTGCAATTGATGACGATGTAATTTTAATAATATTAAAATCGATTTTTTTATAACCGGATTTTTAGAAAAACCGATTTTTTTAAAACCGAAACCGATTACACCGGTTAGGATATCCGGTCCTCCAAACCGGTTAGAAACCGAACCGATTATTTTATAAACCGATTTTTTTTCTATGAAAAAAAACCAGATCGGATAAAAATCGATCCGGATCGGATTGAAATCCGACTTCTGTGCAACCCTAGTGGTGGCCAACAATGTGAAATCAGGGCTGTCGATGATTTATTTCTGTGGACCACCATTGAGCGAGAAAATAGCACCATTGCCATCTTTGACGAGAGTAGATCAACAAAGCTTGTACAAAGAATTTACATGGTTTATCTGATCTCATCCGCTATTTGTAAGAAAATACGTTATGAAATCACCTGTTTCAAATACAGAGGTGTCGCTCTCGAGACTTCATTTTCCAATTTAATGAAATTCATTGACAAAATACTTTAAAAACTTGAACTTACACGTGTCCTACAAATATCTTTATTCAACACGCACTCTCTAATCTAAATAAGTTGAGAAAGTCTACTTAACTTTGGTAAATAGATTATAAGTTAGAGATATTTTGTCTTTCTTGACTTATGAGATCGTCAATATTATGTTAAATATAATAATTAATATTTTTATGTAACATCAAAATATTATCATACATCTCTCTTATTTCATAAAAAAAATATTATCATATATAATAAGATGTTTGGTTAAAATATTTTTTTAAATTTAACTTTTATATTTTGTTTGTCGTCATTCCCATTAAGTGAGAAAAGATTATTACGAACAAAAATATTTTTTTTGACAAGATTTCAAGAAGACCATTCATATCAATACAAGTGTTTGTCTATTACTGTTATTTTAAATAAAACTGTCTTTAAAATAATAAGTTTGCTTCATATTGGTCCATTTGTTATATTTTTTAATTAGATAATTAATGATTTGAGGTATAAATTTATTAAATATTTAAATTGTGTTTTAATATTTAATGTACTTTTATTATTTATTTCAAACACTTTCAGCACTGTTTTTTTCTTCTTCTACAGTTTGCGATCTCGTTTCTCTTATTCAACTTCAAACTTTGCATTACAGCAAAACACCCAAAAGAAAAGAAAAATGGCTATGGTGGCTGAAGCTTTTCTATCGGCCTCCTTGGAGGTCCTGCTTGATAGAATTGTTTCTGTGGATGTTTTGAACTTTATCAAGGGTAAGAAACTTGAAGCCGTGCTGTTGAAGAAATTGAAGCCAACCCTGATATCCGTGAAAGTGGTGTTGGATGATGCTGAAAGTAAGCAGATTAGCAACTCAACCGTCAGAAGTTGGCTTGATGAACTCAAAGATGCTGTTTATGATGCGGAGGACCTCCTTGATGAGATTGCTATTGAAGCTCTTCGAAACAAGATGGAATCCCAGAATCAAACAGTGAAGAAGGTAAGTCGTTTTTTCTCTTTCTCTCAATCATTTCAAAGACGGGATGGAGTCAAAACTGGAGGAGGTCCTTGGGAGACTAGAGTACTTAGTCAACCAAAAACACATCCTGGGTCTGAAAGAGAATTGTAGAGGAGAAAAGGCATTTCAAAGAGTGCCTGCAACTTCTTTGTTGGATGAATCTGATGTTTATGGCAGAGACGGTGAAAAAGAAGAAATAATGAAGTTGTTGCACCCTCAAAATCTGACTGAAAACCAGATTGATGTGATTCCCATTGTGGGTATGGGTGGGCTCGGCAAAACCACCCTTGCACAATTGATCTACAATGACGAGAAAGTGGACAAATGGTTTGAGCTCAAAGCATGGGTGTGTGTTTCAGAAGAATTTGATGTTTTCAGGATAACCAAAACCATTTTGGAAGAGATCACTCCTAGCTGTGATAGAAACCAGAACTTAAATCAGCTTCAACTTAAACTAAAGGAGAAGCTGTTGGGAAAGAAATTTCTAATTGTTCTGGACGATGTTTGGAACCAGAATTATGTTCATTGGAAAGAGCTTTCAAGTCCCTTCACTTTTGGGGCCAAGAATAGCAAGATTATTGTAACAACCCGTGACAATAACGTAGCAGCGATCATGAGGAACGTTCCGACTTATTATCTTGACGTCTTATCAGATGATGATTGTTGGAAGTTGTTTGCAAATCATGCATTTGATGATACAAGCCCCAGCAAGCATCCAAATCTGATGGCAATCGGTAAAGCAATCGTCAAAAGATGCAATGGTCTCCCTTTGGCTGCAAAAGCACTTGGAGGTCTTTTGCGTTGTAAACTAGATACTGATGAATGGAGTAAACTATTACATAGCAACTTTTGGGACATACCAGATGATGCATGCAATATTCTTCCTGCATTAAGATTGAGTTACTATTATCTTCCTTCACATTTAAAACGTTGTTTTGCGTATTGTTCAATTTTCCCTAAAGATTATGAATTCCAGAAAGAAGAACTCATTTGCTTATGGATGGCTGAAGGTCTTTTAGAGTTTTCCAAAAACAACGGTAATGCAGAAGATCGAGGTAATGAGTACTTCAGAGAATTGAGATTGAGGTCATTTTTTCAACAGTCGAAGGGGAAGAAATCTGGTTTTATCATGCATGATTTAATTAGTGACTTGGCTAAATCCATCACCGGAAAATTTGTTTGTAGATTGGAAGGTAGTGGTGATTCATGTGAAGTAATTGAAAGGACTCGTCACCTGTCCTGTGTCCAAGAAAAATATGATGTGCCAAAGAAATTCGAGGCTTTACCTGAAGGTAGTGGTGGTTCATGTGAAATAACCGAAAGGACTCGTCATTTGTCCAATGTCCAAGAAGAATATGATGTGCGAAAGAAATTCGAGACTTTACCTAAAGCAAAAGGTCTACGTACATTCCTAAACATGAGGTCTTCGTTGATGTCTTCCTATGCCAGCAATGTGCTAATTCATGATTTGTTGGTTAAATCAAGCTTTCGAGTGCTTTCTTTGGCCAAGTATGAAAATATCAGTGAATTACCAGAAGAAATTGGTAATCTGAAGCATCTGCGAAGTTTGGATCTCTCAGAAACATCGATTAGAAGGTTGCCAAACTCTTTGAGTACACTCTTTAATTTGCAAACTTTAAAATTGGTTAAATGCAAAAACCTTTGTGAGTTGCCAAAAGACATGGAGAGATTGGTCAACTTGCAGCATCTCGATATTAGGAAAACAAAGATCGCATGGATGCCGAAAGGAATGGGTAAGTTGAAAGATCTTCGAACATTAACAAATTTTGTTTTAGCAGAGGAAACTGGTTCAAGCATTACTGAGTTGGGAAAGCTCAAGCATCTACGTGGAAGACTTGTCATTTCAGGCCTAAAAACTGTTGCATGTAAAATGGATGCCAAAGCTGCCAATTTGAAAGATAAGGTGAACCTTAAGGAATTGGAATTAATATGGGGTGAAAATGATGATATTGATGGCGATTCAAAGCATGATCGAGAAGTACTTGAACAACTGAAGCCTCATATAAACTTGGAACATCTTGTTATTAGAAGCTACAAAGGCACGAGATTTCCGGAATGGGTGGGGCATTCTTCCTTCTCAGATGTCGTATCGTTGGAGTTATGGAATTGTAATTTTTGCATTTCCTTGCCACCACTTGGGCAATTATCATCTCTGAAATCTCTCCTTATTTCAAGGTTCAGCGGAGTTGTAACAGTGGGTGATGAGTTTTACGGAAATAGGCACGCTTCGGATAAACCATTTGGATCTCTTGAAATTCTAAGCTTTGAGGATATGGCAGAGTGGGAAGAATGGTTTTGTTGGAGTGATGAAGTTTTCTCTCTTTTGCAAGAGCTGTGCCTAAGAAACTGTCCCAGCTGACCAATCTCTGCCCACACCTCCCTTCTTTAAAGAAACTGAAGATTGAAGATTGTGAGAAGCTTGGAGGCTCGCTTCCAACAGCACCAAGCATTTTCAAACTCGAGTTAGAGAAATGCAATGCATTGCAATTGGAGCCATTACCCTGCGGGCTTAGAGAGTTGGTGATTGGAGATTCGAATATCAACGGTTCCATATTGGAACAGATGCTGCAACAATGCACTCATCTTGAAAAGTTGTCCTTGCGGGATTGTTCTGGTATCACATCCCTTCCCGACTCTGGTGTGTCTATTAAGCTGAGGCAATTGTGCATCATAAGCTGCAAAGTCTTGAATTGTTCCAAAACCTTGCTGTATACATCCCTTAAATCCTTGCAGATAAGAAGTAAGAAGTGTCATCCACTAGAATCTTTCCCATTAGGGTCATTCCCTATGTTAAATATATTTCCTTTCTGGGATGTGATGACTTGAAGTTGCAGTCCATCTTCCCATCCCTTCTGATGTTGGCAATAGGAGATTGTCCAGAAATAGAGTCATTTCCAGAAGGTTTGCCCTCCAAATTAAAATACATCACTATCTTAGGGAGTGATAAGATCATTGCGAGATTGATCAGGAAAGGGGAACGTTGTTTACAAACACTCCCTTCACTTACATATTTCGAACTCTCGGATACAGAGTTAGAGATGAAGCGTTTTCCAGATGAACATATGCTGCCCTCTTCTCTTACATCTCTCACTATCTCTGATCTTCCAAATCTAAAGTCTTTGGACTTTAAGAGCTTTCAACACCTCACATCTCTTCAAAGATTGTATATATACCATTGTCCAAAGCTCCAAGCGCCAACAACGATGCTCCCATGTTCTCTTTTGTATCTCTTCATTGTGAATTGTCCATTGCTGAAGGAACATTGCCAAAAGGAGAAAGGAAAAGATTGGCACAACATTTCCCGTATCCCTGTCATTAAAATTGACAATGAAGTCATTATATAGAAGGGACAGTTGACTGAGAATAGGAATGTCTAAATGAGTCCCTCATCATTCTCACGCAGGTATTCCCTTCATCTTCCTTAACCCTCCTCCATTTTTCTTTTATTTACTTCCATAACTCAAGGTTTGACTCGTTCATTTTTTTCTTCTTTTGATTGAATTAGACATGCAACTTATGTGTTTTTCCTGTAAACCATCACCAAAAATACATTTCTTTTCGTTTAATGACTTCTCAATCCTTCACCTTACTCTCCTTGTTTTTCAGTACCCTTTCTTGAAAATCCCATCTTCCAGCTTTGATAGGTTTTCTCTGAAGAGAAAAACATTGGGTTTCGATGAAAAAACTAATGGTTCTTTTTTTTTTTTTTTTGGGGGGGGGGGATTTCGAAGAGTTGGATGTTGCGCCATTGACAGTTGAATTGCAGCAAATTTGCAGTGAGAATCAATTTGATAGAGTCGTTGCTGAAGCTCAACAAGTTGAGGAGTCTTTGATTATTCTTTGGTTTTATGATTCTTTGGCTTGTGTTTTTGATTTGATATGAATTTTGTATGCTTTTTTTGTCTTTTGATGCATCCGAGAAAGAGTTAATTATTCCAGTCAAGGCACGAAATGCTTTGTTGAGAATCGTATTTATTTATATCAATTCTTATTCCCATTTAATGTTCTCATTCATATTTAGATATAAATTGAGCATTGAGATTTCGAGTTTGATCCTGAAACAAAGTTGTTTTAGATATACATGGAGCATTTAAATTAATGTCCAAAAAGTCTATCTGGTTGCAGAATCCAGATCAACATGTTTTATCATTCCATTTTCTTATTGATATTTCGAGTTTGATCCTAACACAAAGTTGATTGAACTTGTAGGATGGCAAGCTTGGTGCAGAAAATGTATATATTTGAAATCGAAATTGCAAAAGTTGGCAGCTGATTACTATCAGAGGTTAGATAAGTTTCTTTTTAGATCTCTGATACTATTAATCTGGTTTATCACAACGAACCTTGCGTAATTTCCTTGTTTGTCAAACCATTCTGGCTTATGTTGCTTGAATTCTTCATTTTTCTTGAATTTTTCATATCCGACGTACATGCAAATATGGATTCGTAAATATGACTTTCCAAAGACTTCTGAATATCCTTTAAATGCTTGGAAAAACTGAATATTTCCATGTTGGACACATTCAGTATCTGACACTTGTAACTATAAATGAATCTATGTTCCTACATGTATAGTTGTTTTTCCAAAGGAGTTTAATTTGAAGTCTTTTGGGGGATATGAATCTTTTCTTACCATTCATTCAGACCATGGAACTAACAAACTAAAAAAATAGCATCAATAGTTTACAGCTAGTTTGAAGGAATTCGGCGTCTCATGATGTTCATATACTCGGCTCCTTTGTTCTAATCCTTGTTACTACGGATGATAGATGATGGATTCGAGCAGCCGCTTTTCTGAATTCATCAGTTCTTCCATTGTAAAATTAGAGTTTGGGTGGGGAGATTTTGGTTTAAAATTCCGAGTTGCCAAACTTGTTCTTCAGTCCTTTGGGTACAATAACATTAGATTCTAAAGTCGGACATATACCTATATCTGATACTCCGATTTTATTTTTCTTGAATACTTGTGTTTGACACAATTCCAAATACAAATACGATGAAATGAACTCCAAAGACCTTTAGAATATATGAACAGTCAACGAAGAAATTGTACGCACATGTATCCTATATTTGTATATATACCTGTAGTTGATACTCTTAAACAGAGAAAGAAAAGCATCTAACGTACAGTTACCCATATCCTTGAATCTTGTTGAGATTTATTTTTATGATTTTACACTTTCCCACTATAGGATCTCTTCTAATACACGCATGATCTGCCATATTAACGAAGTTATGAATTCATGATTGACTGAACTGATTATTCCTTTATGCATGTTTCGATTCAACGACAACTCTCCAGAAAATGCCAACAATACAAGTTAGAATACGAAAATTGCATATTGGACGCATACTCGTATCTAATAATGGTGCACTTTGATAGTTTGATTTGCTTAGTCTTGGGGTGCACTTGTTTTTAACCTGATGAGGGTGTCTATTATTACAGTTGATAGCAGAAACAGGCTGAGGCCACAAAGCATATTTGGTTGTTAATGAAGTAGGCCTAATCATAAATAAATGAATGTACCTCGTGAGTTTTAAGAACATATTTTTGTCTCTATTAAACCTTTCATGTTCAGATATAAAAGATTAGCAGATCATGGTTACATTTACATGCCTCCAAAATTCAATTACTTTGCAAGAAAGAATAAATAAATAAATAGAAAGAATCAGTGAATCACTACGAAATTACAACGAAGATGCTATGCTATTATACTAATTCCCTATCACCAATTTGAAAATTAAAAAATAAAATAAAATAAATGGGTCTCGAAAAGGTCATATATATATATATATATATATAAACACATGAAAATTGCATGTACAAAGAAATACAGAATAGTTAGTTGTACCTTTCTCCAAGGTACTGCTAGCAAAAGCAACCTAAGGCCCTCCCACCGTTTGAAAGAGACCAGAAGTCATATAAAATGTCCTTTGAAAGAGATTTAGATCTGAATTTATGGTCAACAAGGTTAGCCATCCTCCTACCTTCAATGTATCCACCATTTTTTCTTTTTCTTGCTCTCTAACATCGGTAGCTCTGGACGTAAAACAACATTTGTGTCAATACGAATATGGGCCATGATTTGTAAATAACTCCGCTAAGGCGCTAACGATGACAATAAGTTAACAACTACACGGTTGAGCACGCTTTTTTGAAGTTTTTCAGGATTCTCGGGGGATTATACCTTGTACCCATGTCCGAATAATTGGGCATAAATCAGACATAGATACATCAAAAAATTACGAGTCTAGATAAAATAATGTCTATTTGGAGAAATAAATGCATTAAAAACAGAAACAAGTACCCGTATTCATTTCTTAAAACCATGGAGTAGATAAATAGACAAGCAAACTCAAAATAATAGTTTTCTGCTCAACCTAAGTCAAAGGAGTTGAATTAGTTCTTTTTCATTTTGTTTCTCCAGATTCATTTCGTAATTTCGACCCCCAATGATTCACTAAATTTTGGGTTATAATGAAGAAGTCTCACTAACACTTTGATTTATGGGCAATCAGTGTCTTGAGGATACAAAAAAACTAAAAACTTCCAGGGTTATGTTTTCTATGCTACTCGGGTTAAATTAAGAATCGCAACAAAGTTTAAATATATGCATGTTGCTGTGTTTAGGATTACCTTCTTCGGGATAAATCGAATTATAGTGCACCTCAGCCCAGAAACTCAAGAAAATAACTGCAAAATCACCACACAAACAAGCAAAATGGAATTGAGTATCAAGTGAAGTACATAAAAATTCAAACATCCAGAACGGCCATATTAGACAAATATAGCATTATGTAGTCCAATTCTACAAGGTGGAGAGTTCTCAATTGTGCAATTCTCAGTCTTAGCTTCGTGATGGAAATCTCTAAATAACTGCTCAGTACTATAATTTACAGCAAATGCAGACAACTCAAAAATATTATTTTATACAAATTCAAGGAGTAAAAATGCAAATTGATGATCAATTTGGATCATGGTGTGAGAAAGACAATCTCGCAAAACTGCATACAAATGTATTTTATATAAAGATCAGTAAGATTAAGGATCCACGAATTCCACAACCTATACTTGTTCACTAGCTTAAAGAACATACAAATATACTTCTCTTTTACATATCTGAATTTGTGGTTTTTCGATTTTATACTGCAGAAAATATTGCATGTGCAAGAAACAAGTATTATAACTTGAATATTTCCCTTGAAATTTTAAAAACCAATGATATACCTGAACATCTTACCGATAAGAACCATGATCTAATTATATTATTACCACTTCCAATAATCAACCCAAGAAAAAGAGAAGGATATAAAGCATTGAGATCTTACTTCGTTCAGACTTTGGACGATGTGGAAGGATCTCAATATAACATGTATCCTTAAAGGAAGTTAATACAAATATCTTTACGCCATACTGCAATCAAACAGAAAATTTACATTAGTTATCTATTAAATGGTCCAGACCAGAATAAGCAAAACTGGTATTGCAAAAATAATGCAAGATATGAAATGTTAAGTCTTAATTTTATTTACATATATCTGTAAAAATCACTCTTTGTAGAAACTTGTCAAGCATACCGTTCGTGAAGCTACAAACTAATTCATTTCACAATTAGTAACTGCCTAGAAAAAAGTAGAAATAAAGTCCACTACTTTCTAAAATAGAACTTTAAATTGCATGGTATTTTATTACACAAGCTTCAAAGCTTTAGAATCTAACGAATAGGAATGACACTAACTAAATTACTTGGATTGAAGTGTGTCTAACATGAGTATGCGTCCAACAAGAGCATATACAATTTTTTCCAAGATTTCCATGTATTCGGATAGTCCTTGGAGGTTGGACTCGGGTGTATGTCTAACATGGGTTCACATATGCATCCAAGAAATGTTAAGATGTGTTCAATTTTTTCCAATACTCCCATATACTCGGAGAGTCCTTGGAAGTTGGACACAGGTGTCAGACATTGGAATTTCAAGAAAAATAAAGACTTGGAGCAACATAGTCCACAAATTTGTGACCATTTTCATCTATTTAGGCAATATGAACAAAACATTGCTCTCAGATAATTTTCCTCGTGATAACTGAGTTCACCAGCACAGGTAAAGCTACATGTAAATATTTCTTTCAGAAGCTAAACATCCATATAGAACTGAAGTGGAAAATATTCATAAAACGTTGTGTAAAAGAAAAAACTAGTTCACATACTAGCAAAGTTTAAGCCTTACGGTCATACAAAAGTTATGGTCTAGATTCAAGTTCTTGCAATTCAACAGCCACTTGGAAAAAAAGTAGTAAAACCAAGTTAGAAATTAGAGAGTTTGATCATTTTTTGATAGAAATTAGAGAGTTTGGTCATTGACATACCAGATCTGCAGCTGCTTGCAACGCAACGTGATCACCCCATTCCCCATTCCTTCTTCATCAATGTAAATAACTATAATAAGCATGAAAGTGTTTTTAGAAAGTTTTCTAGTCAAAAAGTTGAACGGAAATGAATATTTTACTTGTTCATTTTCTTCAAATAGTCACCATAAGCCATTGGAACATAACCCTCGTACATCTCTGAATTCGATGTAAGCTAACGAAATCAACATATCATGAGAAAAAAGAAACATAAGACTAACGGTTTCAACTATGCGCCAAAGAAACTAAATTAGCTAAAATAAACAACCAACCTGATAAACAACTTGCCGTCTCACAAACTTGTGGTGATCTTGAGAACGGTAAAGTTGATCTGATAATGAACGAAACTGGAACATATGAAATAAGAAAGGTTACTAAAGGAAATAACAAAGTGTTCTAATAAAAGTTAAGCATCAATCACTGAAGTTATATTCTAGAGAAAACTAGCCCTCAACAGAGTTTCATGACAAAATTTTGTAAAATGGTGTATAAATTCAATTGGAAATCAAAGCCAAATTAAATGGAACCAAGAACTGCAAACTAATTCCTCTAGATAAATGCAGATATATATGTTTCCATGTGCTTCAATTTGTGGGATGCATAATCTGAGTAACTAATGACCAAAAGAATCACCATACATATTGTGCATGGTTTTAAAACACATAAAAGCTTTTCAACCAAGTAGAAAAGAATCAGAGAGGAAGAAAAATGAAAAGGATTTTTCCACATTTCATTACTTTAGAAGTCCATACAAACTTGGGGCCAAACTATTCACATTTCAATACTGAGCATTTTTACCACATCCACTAAATTATGAACTGTAAAGTGATTGCTAGAAGACCAAATTTCCACCATCCTATAATAACTCTAAACATACACTATAGAATTACCATGAATATTATAAACAGTGAAGTATTGCAAGAAATTCATGTTATTACTATTAGCACAAAAAGGTTTTCAAAAGAATCTACATCCAATTTGTTCATGTGCCTATTAAGGCCCCTTTCAACCAATATGTTTATGTGCAGGGATCTATACCTCACAAATTCAGAAGTGAAAGCACCTGTGCATACTATTATCCAATACGAAATATCTTTAAAATGAAAACCAACCTGACAGTTACCGTCACCTTGAACCTTATTCTCAACCAGACCATACAACTGCAACCTGAATGGTAAAACAATTAATCCTAAATTAAAATGCTATTAAAATAGAACATTCATAAAAATCATCCAAAAAAACTTGACCTAATAACTTCACTGCAAAAGAATTTCTTTTAAGAAAATGGGGAAGAAAACAAAACGGTGAACAATTTTGGTTAAACAACTTATTCAATAACATGTTGGTTAAAGATACTACTGAAAAACGATTGAGGAAAGGGGAAAAATAATAATTATTTTACCAAAATGGACCAATACAAGAGTTGAAACATTTTACAAAATTACAATAAAAAAACCCCTAACAAGTAAATTTATCATTGTACTATTTTTAAAAGGAATAAGGTGCAAAGGGCCCCTCCATCAATGGAAAATAATTAGGGTGATGAAATTTATTTGCCACAAAATAACAGTATAAGAAAATAGAGATTCCATTAACTATATAAAGGAAATTTTCAAGCCGAACCTATCAAGCAGCCTTTGATGGTCTGAAGTTTCTTCATCAACTGATGGTATTTCTCCATTAATTTTAGGTACATGCTGTACAATGCAAATCATCAAAGTAGAAATGTCAACTCTGATCCAATTCGTTGTTAAAGAGTTAAAATGTTCATGAAATCACATCCATATGCACAACTAAATTTTGCCTTTACTTATTACATCAGCGAACCCCGAAGCACCTCAAGCAGTGCCAATTTACTATAACATTAAGTTCATACGAAGAAAATATATCATATGAGTTAACTTCAGCACGTGATAAACAGTGATCTTTTCATCCCCACAACATTGTGTACCACAAAGCATACACCAACTCAAATAGATTTCATAACATTCACCAGAAAATTTGGTAATCAATTTGCAAAATTGCAATCATCATTAAACTAAACATGTGAGCCACGTGTTTTCTCAATACACAATAGTGAAAAAGAAACAAATAGGCAAATCCTAACTAAAAACATGATGACTGCATCAAAATTATAATAAATATAAGATCAACTAGAGATTGAAAGAGAATCCCAATAAATAACAAAACCTTCCAAGACTGTACTTACAGGAATAGCAACCATGTCATTCAACCTCTTCTCTACTTGACCATCAATAACAGATGACTGATCGATTATATCAATGCGCAACATGTCTTCACCTAGAGAAATTTTGTCTCCCATGTCAGAGTCACCACCTTGTTCACATCTACTTATGATAGGATCATTTATATCCCACTTTCCATGCTTAACTTCATTTCCACCTCTTTGGTTAAGATCTTCTATGATTTTCTGCCCATTTTCGTGATCTATACAATAGCAAAATTTTTACATTAATAAAAGCCAATACAATCATTGACTCAGAATGGAAACTTCAGAAGTTCCAACTACCAGAACTACATTGTGTTCCGGGAAGAACAACCCAATCTTGAGCAAGAATGGAATCTTGGCAAAGATTGTTAAATCCAGATGCCTCTGCAGCAGCAAGTCGTGAAAGTTCCTCTTGAAGGGCATGTGCAATAACCGCATCATTCTCCACATTTACATGTTCAGGTTCAGGTTCTTGATAACCCTCTCTTATATATCCAGTTTGACTATCATCTTTGTCATACTGAGTGACACTTCCACTGGCACCAGAATGGCCTAATACACAAACTTGTAGATCTTGGAGACCCCATCGAACAACATCAGGATCTATATCACATGTAATCATTATTAAAATTTATAAGACAACACCGTTCACGTTCCTAACTGAATATGTATACTCCACAAAAGGAATTCTGCAGACAAGAACATAAAGTAAATTAATCACAATTAGCACATGATAATATAACCATACAAAAATAACAATAATACTATGGAAAATGTACGTTCCTAACTGAATATATACTCCACAAAAGGAATTCTGCAGACAAGAACATAAAGTAAATTAATCACAATTAGCACATGATAATATAACCATACAAAAATAACAATAATACTATGGAAAATGTCCAAAGAAACTAGCATAGAAATTTCTTAACATAGATTCTAGAAGAACACAATAACCTAAACCTAGAAAACAGAAAGAGCAATCATTGCATGCAAGAACAAAAAGACTAAAAAAAAACCTAATTCCATATTCCAATTTCTTAAAAAAGGCTTATGGTGTTCCCGTTATAACTATTGCAACAAATATCATTACAAAAAAATTCTATAACATGATATAATTGATTTGAATTAAGCTGCGACCACCGATATCAAAATTTTCTCATGTTACTTAAAAGAATCAGTGAAAATTAACATATACAATGAATATTAATATCAAACATTTTATATTTTCACTGTGTCTTTGTATTAGGCTATATTTTAATCTCATTCGACTACTCATGGTGATGAATGAATTTTTAAATCCATATTCATGTCTCGATTTCAATTACAATAATGAGATTATATATAATCTAATTGATAGTTTTTTTCCCATCGGATCTAGATTCTTTTTATTTCTCACAATCTTGTTCATCATTATTTTCCTCACATCTTTATATTATATAAGTTTCAAAATTAACAAGAGACAAATCAATTCCACCAGGTTTTCTGATATTCTTCTTGATTCGATTCTTTCACAGATCATTAAATTAAATATCATTAAATTTCCTTATATATCTATAAATATAGCATGCTTCAAAGGTTCCTATATACAAATCACTCTTTTCTCATGCCATCAGAAATCCAATTCATCTTCTAGGTTTCCATGAAAAGTAACTAATATTTCCAATATCGGAAATTTCAAGGGATATTTAAAAAATATACATATAATAGAACAATGTATGAACAACAAATCAGGAAAAACTACATGGTGAAATTAGGGATTTTAAAATAGAATCTTGAAATAAGAAAACGAAACGAAATTTTATCTGAAAAAGATAAATAATTGATTACAAATCCTACCTGAAGAGGTTGAAGAGAATGTAAGCCTGGAGGAGAAGCCAAAGCCGAAGGCGAGGCCTTTATACTTTTCTTTGGAGCTTTACCCACCCGGTTTCCCTCCGAGTTTTATTTTTTCAAGGTTAAGTTACACCACAGGTTATTAGTAATATTATAGATGGCACATTATATTTTAAAAGGTTATAAACGGGTCATTGATTGTAACAAATTAGTCAAATTACTGTTAAATAAGTAAAGGATGTTAATTTTTAGTTAAAATTAAAAATTTATCGTCCGTTTCATTTCTAATGGTAAAATAAATTATCTATTATAATCGATTAATTAAATGATTTGTTTGTAAATCTTTGAAATTTAGTGACCAAATTATAATCAAACTAATAATTGATTGACTTATGATATAATTTACCCTTTTAATTGGATTAAATTCTTTATCTGAACGAATCTAAAAATTAGATATAGGTAGAAATAATAATTAGTAAAACAATTATCAATCAAGAAATCTCGAACCCTGATTTAATATATTATAAACAGTAAACATAAATGTTTTTTAATATATACTGTTGAAGAACGAGAAGAAGAAAAAATAATTTTTTTATTGGAATTATTGAGACATCTTTCTTTTCTTTTTTCTCTTTTACAAAGAATTATTGAGACATCTAAATTTTAATTTGGATTGCATTATTACATAGTTCTAATATGTGTGTTTTTTGCATTAATTTAAAACATTACATTATTTAATGTATTTTTTCAAATTTTCATTCTAAACTTTAAAAAAATAAAAAAAAATATTATATTTGAACGATTATTTGACCCATTCAAAAGTCTAATTACGGTGTAAATTCTAATTTTAAAAGATTAAAACTACATATATTATCATTTGAACAACTATTAAACACATTCAAGGATCAAACTATATGCACGATTTAAAAAAACTAATTTAATACAATATAGATTATTAATTAATAACAGATGTGTATTGTTAATTGAATATTGTTTTAGTTGATATAACTATTATAATTTAAATATGAATTTATATTATTTTATTTAAACTTAAGTAAAAAAATAAATATAAAATATAACTTTTAAAATATTAAAATCAATATGATTATAAAAATAACCGCAACCTCCTTCAAATTTATAATAGTCGGATTGATTCAGCTTAATAATGATTTAATGAATTTTACCATACGAACCTAATCCAATTAAGAAAAGCAACGTTGAAAACTAAATACACCTAAACTGCAACAAACGTGTGAACAACTTGGTACTTAATTCTTGTCTTATTCTGTTGTTCCTTATTTATCTTTGCGACCAGAAACAAAACTTGAGGCATTCGGAGAGGATAATCATCAAAAGATTAATAAAGAATGGGTGGTACGAAGTCTAGTGGGATGAGACGTTAGATTTTTTAAACAAGATTAAGAGTTCAAATCCTGATGTTTACGAATAAACAAATTGAATTGAGAGAATCACCCTTATAATGAGCCTTTACAAAATTCAATCCGAAATAATTGATTAATAGATCGAATATTAACGGTTAATTAAAATAAAGGGTGATCCATGTGTTATTTATTTTCTTCCAAGGGAAACTTGGTAATAAAGGAATGTTGAAAAAGGGTATTCCGTGACAGATTGCATTACGTACCATTTTTATATTATTCTAACTTATCACGCATGATGTCTGCAAATCTACATGTGGACTCTTTACTGGTTTGACCCTTGTAATTGGTCAAATTGGGGGGGGGGGGCTGGGGTCATTTGTACCTACAAGATAAAGCTACTTGCCCATGATCCATTGGAAAAGTAAAACACAAATTGGGTATTGATTTCTGTTACAATTTCAGAATTCTGGGGAAAAAACTACAAGATTTGGCAAACAAGGAATCATACAAGTCGGTTTGAAAAACAATACATTCTCGGTAAGTTAATGACAGGAGCGGTTCAACAAGTCTTTTAATTCGATATCGAGTTCTAATCTTCAATGGCGTTTCCTCCTTCATCAGAATGTTTTTCTTGCTCTTGTTGCTCTGCAAAACAAAACATTTGACACCAACTGGACGTTAAGTAATCACAGTAAATCAATTACAGGATAGCACATGATCCCGGAAATTCAATTATTCAAGTGTAAATAAAGGACTATGTCCATGGGGTCTGGGAAATGTCCCTATGTATAAAAAAATTGTTCTAACTCTTTTTTCTTTAGGTATGGGATATAATCTCCAAGGATCCTCCAAATATGTGGGAAATCATGAGAGAGAGAAAATCTAACATTTTCCGTATCAAATACATATCCATATCCGACACTTACACCCAAATCCGAGTAAAAATTTAACTTAGGTGTGAATGTTAGAATACAAATATTTATCCAACATGGGTATCTTCGATTTCTTTTTCTAAGTTTTACACGTAATTGGAGCCTGGAGGGTCATATCCCCATCCCATGTCCAAAAATGTGGCCAACAAGTGTCAGCTGATATACGATAAATCTAGCTAATCTGACTTTTTTTTTTGATAATCTGAGGTAATTACAATGTAGAATCTTTTTAAAGATAACTCTCATCCTTTTGACACTGAACACTCACACCCCTGATATTTCTGGTACTCGAGCCCGGGACCTCAAGGAATAACAATTCTTTTACCACCAAGGTCACTAGGGTTCGTGCAGCTAATCTGACTTTAATGCAGATTCGGGGCATGAAACTCATTTTTATGGCTGATATTAATCTAAGGTTCTCATGAAAATTGAATCTAATTTGAATAGTCTGTATGTGTAGAAGAAATAGGTTGATTTGCTTACCCATAAGTTTGAATATTGCCTTCTGTGTGCGCCTTTCAAGCTTATCGAGTTTCTTCTGCACATCCCTTCGAAGATCCCAGTTTGGTTTCTTGGGAGCAATGTTGACAAATGGATCCTACATCATTTGATCCACAATTAGAACAAACAGAAAGAAACACTGTTTGGTTAAACATGATATTGACAATAAACAAGCACCTCTTTTTCTTCAGGTGCTGGAGGTGCTGCTGCAACAGGGTCTTCAAACTTTGGCAGCACGGGAGGAGCAACCTTACCCTCCTGAAGCTGTTTATCATGAGGTACATAATTTCGGAACTTCATGCTAGTGTTACTGCAGAACAAAAAGGACAAGGCACACATGTTAATGATCAAAATTGTTGGTGAAAGAGAAACAAGCAGACATCCATGTCAACAAACATTCTATAACTTCATGCTGAAAACTCCATGGTACCAAAAAAAGACCACCAGCGAAGTGGTACCTTTTTTATGATTGATTTTTTTTTCAAGGAAAGTAAACAGACAACCCTCTTAATATAAGTTCTGTGATTCATCTTGGTTCAAGTAGTAAATATCAAATACCTAAAATTTATTTAGATCTATGAGAAAAGTGAAGAGAATTAAGGAAGAACAGTGTTGTTCATTTTTCAAGAATTTTTCAGGGAGGCAATGAATAACAAGGGTTACCCATCTCAAGAATAACCTACAATCCCGCATTTGCTCAACTTGCAAAAACTGTGATGATATGAATGGATAGGATCATTTCCCTCATCCTTAATTTTCCTTTCAACTTATACAACTTCGGTTAAATGAAAATTGGAAGGATAGAAAATTTTTCTCCAAAACTTTATGTTAACCTCATTCCTACCACACTAGCAAGCATATCCATTGGAATAAAAGTTCCCAGATCCGCCCAACTTCTCATCCTTCTTAAATCTTAACAATCAAAGCCTCTTAGAAACAGAGGCAATCTCTGGTCCTTTCCACCACACAACCAAAAGCCTTCCTTACCTTCCTCTTTTTCCAAGTTATCCATAACAAGAAAACCCGAGCGTCTCTTTGCTCTTCTAGTTCTGAAAAGGACACCCAAAACCAGCAAGCAG